GAAATGTTTCTTTATGTGTTATCTTTTGCTGTGGTTTTGTTTCTTTGATTTTATGAGGTTTATTCAGGGAAAATACTATGCCAAAGTTAGAAGGGATATATGGTAACCCATGTTCCTTCAGTATGGAATCTTGATTTTAAAGATATCAGGAGAAAACAATTTTATGTTTACCCTCTCATTGTGCTCTTTGAGAGTAACGAGGTTAACCAATTTGGGTCACCTGAATGGTTGAGAACTAAACTCTTACTTTTGGAAGTATTTTAAGGGCATTAAACTATAGCTTTTATTCCAACGACTAAGATGGGAAGTGTGAGACTTTAGCTTGTTCCAGCTGTTACTACATACTAATAACTGGTTTAATCATGGAACTAGAAATAGCTGGCTCCCATTCCTGTATTCCAGGGTTTCATAGAATTATGGGTACTTTTTTGTAGATGGATGGAAAATGAAGGCTGTTGAGGTTAAATGCCTAAGTCAAGGTCATTCAATAGATTGCTAGAATAGGGACTGTACCACAGATTTCATAAAAATCTTAGAGTTGGGTGAGACCATAGAGATCATCTAGTTCAACCCTCTTATTTTATAGAGAGGCAAATGAGACCCAGGGAGGGAAAGTGATTTGATCAGGATTACCCAGCAAAGGTATGGAAGCAATGGAACCAGAATCCAAGTTTCTTCACTTCCAGTCCAGAGTGCTTGTCCTTGGAGCAGTGATTCTCAAAATTCAGTTTGCATCAAAATCACCCAGAAAGGTTATTAAAATGCAGATTGCCAATCCCTACACCAAAGATTCTAAATTGGTAGTTTGAGATGGAGTCCAAGAATCCAACAACTCCCCCAAGTGATTGTGAGGTAGATGACCCATGAAAAACAGGGTCTTAGAGGCCATTTGGTTGTCCAGGCTACCATCTAAAGAAGGAAGCTCCTCTCCCACATCCCTGGAAGGCAAATACATCATCTCTACCAATACACTAAAGTGAGTATCCTTGAACTCTGGGCAGGCCTCATGATTCCCAATTTGTTTTTCCCTATATATATATGATGTTCCTAAGCTATGGTCCCAAATGTGTACGTGTCTATTCTTTTTTGCCTTAAAAATGTGCAACACATTTCTTTATAATTAATTCTTTTATACCTAGAACAGACATCCTTACAAACTGCAGGGACATTGAGTCTTTCCTTTCAAGTGTGATGTTGCAGTGGGGTTTCAGATCATTAGGGAAATCAAACAGCTATGAACTATATCTCTGAACTGTTGCTACTCACTGACATTGGAATGGAAATGGGAAAACATTTTTTTAAGCAAATAGGCACAGTTAGATAGAGCCTTTCACTTATCTGGCACTGATTACAGTCATGGAATATCAGAAGCTGCTAGAGCTATGATTATTGCATGAAAGCCAAAAGCCTTTCAAGTGTTTTTTTTTTCTTTCCTTACACAAGGTGTAAAGGTTTTCAGGGGGAGCAGAAATCAACCACAAGGAACGTGACCAACTGCCAAGGAAAAATCCACCCAAGCATGAAGTTGTTCTGAATTTAGTCACTGTGTTGTGATGTGAATATCCCATTATGGAAATAGCTTCTGAAATGAGAAAGACTACTTGAGCTTTTTTTTCTGAAATAATGATTTGTAAACACTTTGATAAAAATTATGGAATCTGAAATTACATGGTGGAAGTAGCATAAAGTTGCTGTTAGCAACATCTTTCACCAGCAGGATGCCCTTTCTAAGTGTTGCTTCCAGAGACTAGTAGAAAATGGGTGATTTTGTATGTGTATGTGTGTGTGTGTGTGTGTGTGTGTGCATGCGCACGTGCGTTTGTGATGTCTGCATGTACCTTCTTGTGAGAATAAGAACGAATGCAGCAAGGTGAGCACCAAAGTGGAGAAAAGAGGAAAGTAATGCAGCTTTACTATACATATTCAGACACATAAATGCTAAGGCTGTTACTGTGGCAATTATATAACATACCTCTTTTCTTTAAAAGCTATTGTTGGAAACTAGTTTAAAAAGACACTATTTTCTGTAATATCTTTCATACCAATTGATTACTAAAAGCATTTGGGTTGGTTGAGGGGGCTAGTGGGGAAAGGGGAGTACCCTGCAACTACACACTATAATTCAAATAGGAACAGCAAGTGATGCCTTAGCAACTGAAAAAGTCTTCATTAAAATCCCCATTTTGGCTTAGGATGGAAACCCCCAAATT